CGTGCAAATTTGACAGCTCGTTTCAGCCGAGTATGCGATATATCGAGGTTGGCACGTCTCTGCTGCCTTTATTGTTTCTCTTTTCCTTGCGACACTTTCGAGTTTCTGCGTGATAATATTGCGAATATTCTTTTCATTATTGTGCAAATGTACACACGACGAGAGCTGTGCGGAATTGTAATATTTATTACCGTTATTGATCATTGTGCAACGGTTGAAATGTCTCATATTTTTTTAATAATATAACGTGTCTTTTTTAGTATTATAAAATAATTTTTTATTCTTCTCACATGTGAAATTTTTGCAAAAATATTAAATTTAGAAAGATGGTAAAAATGGTCTCCTTTTTAAAATTGAAATTTGCTTTGTTGATAAATAAAATCAGAATGCAAAGAGTTGATTAGAAATTTAAAAAGAATCATTAACATGGGCAAGATTCGAAAAATCCGACTTGCGCAGCCGCGCGTAACGCTGTTCTTTCGTTCTGCGCCTCGACACCTGTGCAAAAGAAGATTCCCCCGAGTATAAATTCACTCATCCCTGCTCGCCAAGAAATCGACTGAAAGAACAGAGAGGGTTTGACTGGAATGCCTATATGCCCAGTAATTATTCCGCTTGAGTTACCGGGCAAACGGACGGACCCTTAGCTCTCCAAAGAAATTTCTGCCGGACAGTCCCCTCGTGGCGAAGAAGTCATTTGCATCTCTTAACGCGAGAAAAGATTTCCGATGCTATTCTAGATAGGAGTTAATCTAATGCGATGGAACTTTGCATGATCCGCCTAGCAACTGTTAACTTGTTTGGAAAATTAAATGAGACTCTTATGCCTTACTTTTTCACAATAAGATGCATCGTGATATATGTTTAGACAATGTTTAAGTCAATTTTAATATATTCTTATTATTTATTATTTGTATTTTTTTTTTATTACAATTCAGTTCTTGCTTAAATTATTTTATCGTATTTTCAAAAGAAAGTTTTTTCCTTTGTCGACAATAAAATGTTAATTTTATCATAAAACGTATTTAAAATTTTTTTTAATTTAAACAAATAAAAGTTTTGTCATAATTTTATCATTTCTTCATATTTCGTGTATATTAATAATTTTGTATTGAAAGAAAATTTAATTTTATTGTGAAATTGTATGACATTTATCTGTATAAGAGGTTTTGTTTTGATCTGGAAAGAATAATAATATACATAATATCAATTAACACAATATTCATTAAGGAAAGATTGCGCGGCAGTCAATAATGTTATCAAAAGCTATTTTACCTTGCACGCGTTCTTGACTTCATTTCTTATCTCGGGTCGTAAAAATTGCATGCGCTCGCACACTTGAATGCCGACGTTATTAACCTATCGCTAATGCATTTCAGATTTGCTCGATAGCACGCGATCACATTCGTTTCGCATTCTATCGAAGCAGTAATATTTATTCTTCTTCTCTCCTGACGAACATAAAATATTAAAAATTTTCATATTTAATATTAAAATTTTTAATTTGAATTTTTCCGCGTGGTTCCTATAATTATGGTTTTTTTTGGCGAGCATTTTGTTCAATATCCGGATGTTCCGTTTCTGTCCAAAATCACGTGCCTTAATTTCGACGTCGAAAGAATCAGGCAATGCCCTCCTGCTTTGACAGGCAACGAACCTCGAGCAATTCTTATGAATGGGATGCATATTCATTCATTTCTGAACGATGATGCACGTGTTGTGCCTTCCACGGATCCGACATATGCTAAAATCTTTCGCGCCAACTGTCGCTTCCTGCATAAATTCACGGACCTTGAAATATATTCTTCGCGAAAAGAAATCACCCCCGGTCACGCTCTACTCGAAAAGACTCGCGGCGAGGGATAGGTTGCTATTAAAGATACATATATATATACTTATATAGGAAGCGAGTCTTTGATTCCTCCCTGGAAAATCGTTACGGGATAGTAACGCGTTAAGTCGTGTTAACGATCCGTGATTCCTGCATAGTATCTTGAAAAAGTGTTGAATAATAGTCTCAAAAAATGAAAGACAATGAAAAATATAAACAAATATGCGAGTGACATTTTTTTTATTAAAAAATATGTGTATCTGGCGTGAAATGTCCGGCGGATCTGGCCCCAAAGAAAGCACTCGAGAAGTCATATGGCAGTCTTCTTTACGAAGGGTGCATGCATTTAACGAATCTCCCCATTAATATCAGAGACTGCTCAGATTCAAAGTTAGCCTGCGGTGTCGCCCCTTCGTGCTTTCTCCTGTGGTTTGAATCGGTATAAAAAAAGCAACCCTCCGATCCAGCGGGAATATTTCCTGTCGGATATTTTCATCCGGCAGACGTTTCTATAGGGGCGAAGGAGAGAACACGAGAGAAAAGTCAAAGCGGTCTCACATGCGGCCAATCTCCGCTGCAAGCTACAGCCATTTATAAGTGCGCGAAGGGAGATTACGGGATAGATAAAGAAACCACGGAATGCTTGGAAAAAACAAATCAGTACTGGTCTTGGCGTTAATAAAGGCTTTGGTTCTTCGAATTGGTAAAATATAAAGAAAAGAAAAAAATAAAAGACACAAATTATACGCTTTGTTACATTGAAAAGATAATCTTTGGATGAATTAAAAAATTGCAGCTGAGACGAATATAATTAATATTTTATATTTTTCGCATAATTATTTTTTAAATGACTTAAACGCCTAATTAAATTGTTTTTCGAATCGTGATAGGAAGTCTAGCAGTTGTCGAAACGTCGTGTTCCGTAAACAAGTCTTATTAAAGAGTCTCTCACCTCGTGGTATTTATGTCCCGTGCAAGAATGCGAGCAAGAAATTATCGTAAGTTTGCCAAGGTGGTTTCCTTGGCGCTCTCTTGTTCCGATGTTCACGATCCTTATCAGCCGGTTAATTATCTCGGGAACTCTTTAATAATTAACGTTACCGCACGCAATACAATTGCAACTTGCATTCTACCGGACGGCGGTTATCGTAATTTCTATATCACGTGAAGAGTGTTTGTGAATAAATTCCCTTCTTGTGATTCTTGGCGGTTTCACTTTTTTGTTCTTCTTCGATTGATCGATTATGCAGATCTCGGAGCTACGAAAATATCTACTTTGAAATTCGATTTCTCAGTCCGTGACTTTGTTTGGAGAGGAACACGTTTTATATATATCAGTTAGACGAAATTGATAGTATTTATGAACTCGTTCGGTCGGTGTCCTCTCGCGCATTTTTATTCAGGATCTCGGACTTCATCAATTTTTTCCCTCGAACCGGGACAACCACCTACAAAAATCCGCCGCCCTCTTAGAGCCTCATTTGCTGCTAGACGAAAATAGATTCAACGTAGGTCGCGCGAACGCGACCGCGGAATCTAATATTTGTTTTGCGTTCGCGCAACGCACGTTCATTTGCGGAAGGTCAGTGACGCGTGGATACATATATGTACGTCCCACGCACTAAAGAGATCATCGGGCGACGATTCTTTTGTAAATCCTTTGTATCTTCGTCGAGGAAATCAAAACTTTGCATTTTTTCGTTTTCGGATTTTCCTTTCGTTTCTGACGTAGGAATTTCTCTTTCTCTCTAGAATATCTTATTTCCACAAACCATAAATTCATATTTTGCAAAAATATGAGAACAATAATTTTATAAGGAGTATAATCTTGTTTGGAAAAATAATTTTATTTTATTCACAATTTGATAGAAATTCTAGTTGTGTAATTAATAGTTCGAGACGATGGAATATGTCAGAGGAAAGGAATGTGGCAACGAAAGCGTCGCGTGCATCTGATGAATTCTACAGATACATGAGCGCAATACTTAGCACATTTATTTCGGATAGTCAAATATTTATCTTCGCACCGTCTGAAATATGAAAGATCACTGTATGTAGAAAGATATTGAATGTGTAAGACGATTGTTTTTCGTAATATTTTAATTTGCAATGTGTAAAATTATTCAAAATTAGTATTTGATATAAAAAAAGAGATAAATTTTGAAATGCAGAGAAGAAAAACGATTTTCTACGCTTTCAGTAAGAAAAAAATCTCACTTTTTGTTATTTTGTTTCACGTTCCTCGTTTTTATTTGTGTTTATGTGCGTATAAGAGAAACGGCAAAAGGCTAATTATCATTCCTGTTACCAACCGAGAATATTCACGGAAAGTATACTGCGCAATGTATACCTACTAAAGCGTATAACATTTAATTACTTATAATTACTCGGTTACACATATTCAAGGAATTCGCATTTATTACCAACGGGTATGCTTGATATCCAATCTAGATCAAGATTATATGATACGTGAGTTATTCCTCTTCTTCTTATAACTTTGAATTATATTAGCACAGCAATATCTTTGTAATAGTTCGTTTCCTTAAATAATTACCGTAATTTGTAACGAGAGAAACACTTTTGAAGGGCTAAGGTGTATTTAATATGAGTAAATGAAACTTTTTTGCAAATTAGTTATTCAAATCACTTTTTTATTGCTGATGCTTTTGCATTAATTCAATTTTTCATTATTTATTATTCTGTATTAATTAGATTTCTTCATTAATAATTTCAATGCTACTATATATGTGATGATAATGTTAGCGCGTAAAAGTTGCACACAATTTACAGATCGCATCTTTTAAAATATTATTTTATTTTATTATTTTTTAAATATTACATTTATGCTTGTGAAATCAACTTTAAATATATTGACGCAAGCAATTAATGTAAAATAATAAATAATAAAAATTTAATTAATGTAGAAGCAGATAAAATAAATAAGCAATGAATAAACAGTTAACGAAAAAATTGTGTATACATAATGTGATACCTGACTTATACTATATAATATAATTGTTCGAAACACATATTTTCCTAGAAATTGGATGCAAAATCTCTTGCTAGGGTCCACATAATCTAACCTAATCTGTTTTCCGTGGATATTTATTGTTAATTTTAGCTTATGATAACATTATTCTAATATATGTATGTATTTTATTTGTTACAGGTAGTATTGTAATACACAGTACGATTCACGCGTCGTGTGGGAGTATCGTGTAAAATGTCATCGTACGTCGATATAGTGCCGTGTAAAATTTTTCGTATCGGGAGTGTCGCGTGAAGTATCGGGTGATCGTAATTATTCATATTTTCGCGAGTGTCGTGAGTGCTACGAATGACCAAGAGAGGAGGAGGAGGTCCAGGGAGGCAGCGGGACAACTTTTATAGGTATGCAAAATAAAAGCACTTTTTTCGAAATTGCATTGTTTATGACATGACATATTCGATCGTTTTCTGCCTTTCAAAACTTGTATTTTGAATTTTTTTTTTCAGATCAATGTGCTGCGTATCACAACTCCGCTATTGTTGCACGTATCGGTGAGTGAGAAATTTTGTATTTTATAAGGGTGTCTAGCGGTCAGGGAAATCTGGAAAACCGGGCTTTGTCAGGGAATTTTATAAATCTGGAATTGTCTCGGAAAAGTCAGAAAATTTTATTATTTATCTGGATTTTTTCACATTATTCTACATTTGTCTCAATAATTTGAAATTTTTTATTAAATATAAACTTGACTCCCACAGCACGCTAATTTTCTGTGTTAAAAATCGATTCATCTACAGCGTGTTTAATAGAGATAAAACTAAAAAATTTGATATAATATAAATAAAAAAGATGATTATTTAAATAGTTTATAGTGACATGTTTGTTTCGATTATCGTACATAATGCAAATTGTATTATTGATTAAAATTTTTGTTTTTGATTTATCATATAAATCATTTGATTTATCATATAGATATATGCAAATGATATATTTGGAAAAAATAATACTAAAAAGTCAGGAAAAAAATTAATTTCTGGTCTTGAAAAATCTGAAAAAGTCAGGGAATTTTTTTTATTGAGTCTGCTGGACACCCTGTTTATAACACTTCTAAGAACAATATTATATATTTATTCTTGATGTTATGCAATTTATGGAGGATTAAATACTTTTATTTTCCCGTGATCGAAACGGGTTTTCGAGCAAGTCTTCCATCTGTTACGAATTAAAACATGATCTGATCTGTTCGAAACATAAGTCCCCTCTTATCTCACGCGTTTTATCGGCGCGATTATTGCGAAACACGCATGTATGGAATCCGGGCATTGTTCTATCGATGACGATACACCCGTTGAATGTATACGGTTTTCGATACCAAGAAGAGAAGGGCATAATATAAAAGATTAGTCTGTGGGCGCATTCAACCTGACCCCGGAATTCAAAACCCTCTGGCACACAATTACCTCTTTTCTCGGGAGAAATTTAAAACCCGCGTCGCGAACCCGAGGAGCCCAGGAAAGGGCATACGACGTAACGTTACACTGTTAAATCCCGTATGTAACGCTAGTCACGTGTATTCCTTTTTTCCTCTTTTTCTTCTCTCGGCTCTTCCTCCTCTCTGTTATGAGTTACTGGATGCGAGAGCGACCGCAAAATCTCGTAGGATCTGTATATATTATATTTTGCGCGCAAATCGGTGCTCCGATGTCTAGTTTCATCACGCAGAGAATGCTACATGCAATTAGTCCGTGTAATTTGAGACATCGTATATATGTCACGATGTATCTACATATGTCAAATGTCGTGTCGTTCTAGATATTACCTGACCAATTGGAGATACATGTGTGCAAATTCACGTAATCGATAGATCGAATACATTTTACTTTCTGTGTAATTATTAAATTATTCGAGCAGTTTCCCTCATCTTATATATATGATAGCACCTTACATATATGATATACGTTTACTTGATCCCTTTAAATCTAGATTTTTTGCGTGAAGATTAATATTCAGAATAAATACGTTATTACAGTTGTATATTAAATAGAGAGTTAATAGTTGTAGAATCATGAAATATTTCGCGATATTATTTAGATAAAAAAGTTTAGGCAGAGTAATTTTGAATATATGGTAAACACTTTTAATTCCTTTTCATATAAATTTTGAACAGAGAAAATCATTTTTCGAATTACCATTAATATTACACAATTTTTTATTTAAAAAGTGACAGTTCTTAACAACGTAAAGAAAATTATTATTCTAAAATCTGACCTGTATTCAAATTCCACTGCCCTAGTATAATGCTTATCTCACCTGTGCTTTGTCGTCAACATAACGTCGTTATAATAAATAAAGTCGCAAAGTCACGGAACGCGACGCGATCTGTACAACTATCAGAAATTTTATGCAAATATTCGCGATTAATATTGATTTATTAAACCGATTTTATGCGAGATAAAAGAACTGGTCTTCGCAAGTTTACCGCGTCGACTGAAGCTGCATCAGCTTCTCGTCAGCGACAGAGAGAGAGTTCGGAATAACCACGATCGTTCTTCCACGTTTTAAAGGGACCGAAGTCGTGCACCGAGCTGCATTCCGCCGCGGTTAATCCATCTACGTATGTCTATTTATAAGCGGGACACTCACCCGCCCTGTGGATTTCGACTCGGGTGCGAGCACGCACTCACGGTCAGAGAGGAGGTCTGTGAACGTCGCGCATCGATTTTATTTATAGAATAACGCAGGGCGTACACATTGGCTGCAGGAGGACACCGGAGAGAAAGACATTGGGGTGTGCGCCAGGCAGCGAGGGCTTGAAAAAGGAAGTCTATTTCCGGAAAAAGGGGCGAAACTCTATATCGAATTCGGCGATGCAAGAGGCGACTCGAAAACGTGCTCGTCGATCGATTTAAAGAGATCAAGTAAACGTGCCATATGCGCGCCAGAGAATTAAAGGGATTAAACTGCCCGAAGTATTTAATAACTGTAGAAAAGAGAAAAATATGTAGGATGCTTTGGTTACACGAATTTATGAAGGCAGATTTAGCTCTAGAAATGCATGACTGAGGTTTAGCTGTAGCGTTAATTTTTTTATAATATTTTTTAAGTGAACTTTAATTTTAAACGATTGTGTTCACTTCAAGTTATAAAGAGTGATTTCGTAATAATTTTTTTAAGTCGTCAGTAAACCGGATGCGATATATATGGAGCGCTACGAGTCCATATAAGTACGTTAACCCGCTTGGCAACAAATTTCTAACTGTTCCCTTTTTTTCTCGAGCGGTTCCTTCGTCTTCGTGATAATTTTAAAACGCCTCCTCCTCTTCTCATTTCGCTCGCTCGCTGAGACCGTTATCTCAATGTGCCGTACTTTCAACGAATAATCGAAAATGTATCCAAAACGAAAACCGGCAGACCGATCGTTCATTTTCATCAGGCAATGAACCTTGCTTAAGAGAGGCAATCTTGAAACTCTTAACTTATTCTCAAGTCGTGCAAATTGCAGCGTCGTCATTATCGAAATACTTTCGACGAGCTCTTTTTACAAAAAAATTTGCTCTTTCTTATTCTTTTCAATTCCTATTGTTTCGCGCATCAAAAATTCAGATGTTATTAGCGAAAAATTAAATTTGTATTTAATTTAATACATTAAATTTTTTAATTTATTAATTGCAAATTTTATCGAAAAGAATTTGTTGCAAATTCAATACGTTATAAGATTTTTCTTCTAAATTTATTAATAAAATTGATTTAAATATTCATTGATTTTATTAAATATGTAATTAAATTCATTAATATTAAATTCAGGATGAATTGCGAAACGTATATGATATGCTGATATTGATAAAAAAGAAATTAATAAAACTCGCTTAATACATTCGTCAATGTCGCATATTTTAATCGTACCGGGCCCGTGCTCTTAATTGCTACTAATGACGAGTCTTTTAGCGAGCGTGAAGGAAAGTAATCAAAGTCCTCGACGCACGAAGGGAAGAAGCTTAGTAGGCGCGCGATGATTTCGAGGATATAGTTGCGGAGGCGGTGGTACGGAACGACCACAAACGGACACTCGTTTTTTCGCTCTTTATATTCAGACTGGAAGTGATTTCACGCTTCGAAGGACCTCTCTTCGACCTCGAGACAGGATCTAGGCGAGGCATCCTGCCAGCTATCCTCCTTCCTCGCAAGCCTTTATTTATTTGTGTGTGTTTTGTCGTCCGCTATTTAACTTTTAATCATTTCTTTCTCGACTTTCACGAGTGATTCACATTTTTCACTGATTATCGCATTTATCTTATTTTTTTATCATTTTGAGCTACATTAAGTTAAACTTATATTTCTTAATTTTCTTCTTTGAGATACGTCATCATTCATAAAAATAGAAAATATTTAAATAAAAGTAGATTAGTACAGTATACTACATTAGTACTGTATAAATATAAAAACATTTTTTATATATCTAAATAGAAGAGTAGAATTTATAGAATGTAGAGTTAAGAAAAAATATAATATATGATATATCGGCAATGAAGGGGAAGAAAATGCAAAGGGGCATAAAATTGGATACGGTCAGTGGTGGTTCAAGGAGATCGCGGCTGTAGCAGCAGATGGACAATATAATTTACGCCGACTTGCTTGCTAAAAAGAGTCTGCAAATAGTCTCGTCGTCCTTTCCGTTGCGATCAAATTCGCAACGATTCTCACAAGGAGCCGTGAGAGACAGGACGAAGGACATTGGCTCGCGATTCGTAACCCTGGTCGACTCGATACGGTTAGTTTTTGCGGTGTCTTGGTCTACCGGTCAAGAGAATCAGTGAAGAAGGCTCTCTGTAAGACATCTCGGGAGAATCGCATGCTGTAAACGCACTTCGTGTAACCATTGATGAGACTCGAGCTGTGACGCGAGAGGAAAAAACATTGACTGAAATTTTATTGGACACCGAAGAAAATAAGTATTATATAAAGAATATATTTGTTATTTCTTCCATTATTTTAATTTAACTCAGTTTGCACTTTTATTATTTATTTCTATATATTTAATTTTATATCAGAAAAAATCTAAAAAAATAACTAAAATATAGAAGAGTTTTTTTAATATTTATGAAGCATTTCTGCACTTAAAATTTTTAAATATATTTACGTGTCGCGTCGATTGAAAATAAAATCGGAAATACAGTTTTAACTGCAATTGCGATATAAACGCATAATCAGTATCCAAACATTTGCTTAATCAATCGTAATCACAAATCACTAGATAAAAATAAAACGTGAATCGTCAATGGTCATGGAATGCGGACGACAAGAAAAAACTGTTTTTTCTCCAAACAGTCGAGTGACTTGTGTGATTACTTCATTGAGTCAGGACTCGAAAGTATGCAAGTGTCACTGACAGATTTATAATATCTTCACCGTGGCACTTGACTGTCAATGGGATTATTGTCAGTTTAACGATGAGCAAAACGTGGTAGCAATCAAAGACGACGATTGAAATTGCAAGGGCGCATTACACGATTCGTCTTAGCAATGCATTCTCTAATCACGTCTACGGAATGAAAAAAAAAAGATAATCAATTTAATTGGATAATTATTATGTAGGTATAAAAATTTCGTCGACTTTTTATCGTAATCGCAACTCACTAGGTATAAATATTATTATATAAGTTCTGCTTTTAATATACTTGTCAATACGATTGCTTTTCTATAAGATATCAAATGCAAACGATACTTTAAAAAAATTATTTTCAAGGAAAGTATGTCTGAATAAAAAAAATATCTTGATTATCACATAAAGTCTTAACAAATTTTAAATATATTATTTAAAGGGTTGTATTTATATATTATGCAAGACAAAATTAAAAATTATTAATTTTTTTCTTGTACATATAACGAAGCCTTTATTTTAAGATGAGTAAACGCGATATTAAAAATTTGCAAATGTCAAATCGTATGCAAAAAAAAATGGGCATATGACGTTCGCGTGGCGGGCCAGACCAAACGGACATTCGAACCAGTTTTCGCGAAAGTGAAAGGGGTCGAAAAAGCGGGTCTCTCGATATGAATGTCCTTTAATTAAAGCGGCCGGTTGGACCCTTTTGGAGCGGGCGCGTGTTTACAAAGTATTAGTTAATATACGGAGGACGCGCGGATGGGCGCGTGCTACCGTTAAAAAGTGAAATGCTACTGGGCGAGTTCGTTTTGGCCACATTGTGGACATCATTTGGTGGTCCTCGATCGCGGACGTTCACCCTTCTCATTTAGGGCCGTCCCGATCTACCGGAAAGATCGTAATTTATCGCCGCTGCCGTCACGCGCTTTCTTGCCACCCGTTTGTCTGGATGTGAATGACAGTTAAAGTTTTTCACAGGAAAGAACGAACCGTTGAAGTTTTCGGCATTGCTCGCATGCGGTAGATACAATTTGCGAAAGTTGAAAAAAAAGCAATATATGGGAACCATTATCGGTAATTTATCATACATGTACGATTATTATACTATACGACATTTTCAAGATGGATGGGATTGAACGCAATACCTACTTGCGTTCTAGATTTTTTTATTATAAATCGAATCAGAAAAAATTACAAAAGTTTTTGCCACTAGTAGTTTATTCCCCTGGATGTCTCTTCAAAATCATAATTAATATCACAAAAGAAAAGACTTTTTAATGTACGAAATTCATTTTATTTTTCGAATAAAAAACTTTGCTTGCTCCATCAGTTATATAGATACGCTAGAGTATTTCAATTATTAGAGGTCTAAAAAATGATTGATAGAAGTATGTATCAAAAGAACTACTTGATAGATCGTTTAGCTGTCGATCTCAAGCGATTTATTAGAGTTGATCCGATTTGAAACTTTGTTGCGCTCAGGTGCTATCCCGATGTAAACTGGTTCTACAGCTAATTCAATCAATTAAACGTATAGTAGGGGCACGTTACACGTGTATCGGTGATAGATAACCATTAGCGTACATTCAATCGCGCACCTGGAGATATTCTGCTATCGATTAAACGAAGGGTAGTTTTGACTGAAAAGAAAAGACTTCAAAATATTTCCAATAATTTATATCTCAGAATTTAGACAATATTCTGTCTATAATTTTCAAATTATATTTATCACGCAGTGTCTCGCATAATGTTATTTGACGAATTAAAGTATAGAAATCCATGAAGAAACACAGTTAAAATGTTAGCTAAAAAAAGCTTGAAATACAGAAATTTTCATATATGAATATTAATATGATAAATATAGAAGTATTCAAATTAATTTTCATACATTTTGGAAAATATACATATGTATATATACAAAATATAATTCGCAGTAATTTTAGTGATTTACATTTAATCGCTCAGTGGATACTAATTGAATATCCGTTGTAATATGTAACGTTCGAAAATCCATTTATGCGGCAATGTTTCGTCGATATTCGATTTAACGCAAGTATGATTCCGCGTTTGAGAGAGAGGGTATCGCATTAGTTACTATTATCGAAATGACCAGCTAGGATGACAGCCATTAAAACCATGAACCAGCTGCTTCCCTTCGCATGGGTTCCCCTATGAGTTGGAAGACCCCACGGTGCATCACGCATTATAATTAACTATATAGCAACCGCGCCGAGTCACCCCCATGCATCGTATCGTCGTAACAGATAAGTAAACTACCCACCTACACGGGGTATTGTTGAGAACGTTGCTATGTTTTAGAATCATATTGTTTTACTTCTACATAAATATACATACGTATATACAGTAAAGAAATAATGGATATTTATTGAAGATTTATATTTTGCATATATTTATATCATATATATTTATATATAATATATTTTTATATATTTATATATAATTGTTTTATACTAAATAAAAATATTGAATATGAATATATAAATTATATTTAAGCCATGCGAATATTTTCGTTTATAATTATAAGTACGAGATGGATATTACGTATAGATTATACGTGCATATGTATCATAATTTTCGTGTCATCATATTAGTTCACCCCCATATGCGTATCGAGACCATAGCACGCGTCCAGGTGGATGTTACAGAATGTTCGTTACAAAACGCGATTCATGTTTTACACTGTTGCTCAGCTGCCTAATTTCGGCGATTTTAACTCCACGTGTCGATTAGGATGTGCCGATAGAACATTAGATAATATCAATTCGCCTGCCGCTTTTTAACGTCTGCATAACGTATTATTAATTTCAAAGGCAATAACACGAGACAATCATTAATGTAATGACTGCTGATGCGATATATCTATTGTTTTAATCGATTAGATTTCTGCTTGTAGAATTAATTTTGAATTTATCGTGAGAAAAGGAATGTCTATGCAAGATGTATCATGCATAATTATGCGAAAAATTTTAGCTTTTATATTCTAATACATCAAGTAAATAAATAGAAAAAATATAAGAGAAATATATTATAACAGAAAACTATATTTTTAAAATATATATAAATTTTATAATATAATATAATATATTACATAATAGAATTACATAATTATTTTTGATCAACAAGAAATATATTTATCACAAATATTTGTTCTATTGTATAATTATGCGTTGCACATATGTCTTGCATATAACATTTTTCAAACGCACATTTTGTAATCTATGATATTCTTTACATATAGGTGAGGGAATGAAATAAGAACAATACATAGAAATGAAAGCACGATAGTTTATTATTCGCTTAAATGACTAGATGACTAGAGGAATGTCCTAATTCTAAAACGAAATGTACATAGGACTTTCTTCTGTCTCTCGTGTGATGAGAGCTCGAAGAGATATAAGTTGATGTTTATTAATCAATTAGTCTTTGGAGGTGCTGCATTGTTGCTTCCTCGAGGAACCAACCGTTTCAAGCTTCCGATGGACCATTGTCGTCACAAAAGAAATCTTTAATATACGAAATTTATTAAAAACCGCATCGATAAATTTCGAGAGATATCTTAGATCGATTCGCCGGAGACAATAATTAACCGTACAAATTCTAAGTTGGTAGTATGGCGATTCTTACAATGAGTCCATCCACAAAAACCTCCAGTAAATCACTTGATAAATTATTTACAAAAATTAATTAATACATTCGTCATCATTAACTCTAAAGAGAATTATTTCAATAATTGATCAATGATAATAGTCAGTAATGCTTGAACGACGAAAATAAATATACAAAATTTCGTAGCACAGATAAAATCTGTTCTACTAAAATAATTGTTAAGATGCCGTGCACACGCGCAGTTTACGCTTATATTTAATTTCTGTAATTATTCTATACAATATATGTTTTGAATTTTTTTCTCTCTATAATCTTGAAAAAAAATAATTCTAATATTTTATATAACATCTTTTAATGATATAATATGTTAATTTTTTTAACATTTTTTTTGTAAGAGAAAGAGAGCTAATTATTTGCGAGCGATTCTGTCGACGTTCGAGTTCAAGCATGTTCAAGTTAACATGGCGGTTTTTTCGCCACCGCAGCAAAATAAGAGAAAACCGCACGTGTGCACGAGTAGTCTAAGTATATATAATCGTTTCTGATTCAACGTCATCTTCTACGTGGTCTTTTTTATCGTGGTGGTCGTCTTCGTTGTTTTCGACGATTCTACATTTTGTTGCTTCGTCACGTCCACCGAAGTCATCAAAGGCTTCTTATTCACGTCGCATATTTTTCGAGATCGCCAGTAATCTGTAACAAAAATATTATAACTGTATTGCATGTAAATGACGTGAAACGTCACGCGAAAGGTCGTAAGAATAATAGAACAATGCGGTATGAAAACAAAACTCTGCCAGAGACACACAATAAGAGCGTTCGTTCTATTCATTCGGTACATTTCACGCGACTTGAATAGATATTTCTTTGAGGCGTTTTCGCTTAACGAATATATTTTTGAGATTCCGTGGCGGTGTATGAACTTTTTATGGATTGATCGGGGTCATCGTATTGCGACAGTCGCGTAACCTGTATAGAAGCTGTTCGTACGAGAGAACCATACGAAATTTCCACAACAAAGACTACACACGCGGGAATCGTCTTAGGGACACCCTACTTTCGATCAGGTAACCACCTGAGCATCCTACCCTCCTTTCTTTTTTTTCGATTTTTCTCTTTTTCTGACTGGCTGCTGACAGGTGCGACTTAATGTTAACGGTATTAGTTTCGAAAGTAAAATCTCTTTGTTTTCTAACGCTTCCAAACGCGAGAAATATAAAACCTATATTTCGTTGCAAAAATCGATGAAATTTTTAAAATCTGCACGGAGAATTTTCTCTGGTAATCGTGGGAAAATATTAGAAGAATTTTATAAGAGATTTTTCGATTAATATTTATCGTAATAAAAAATATTAATATATGTACATAATAAAATTAATCGAACATATTTTATGTCTTATTGTGGTAGATATTAATATTTTTTATTGTGCAAAATATAATATTTTAATCAGAGAAACTTATAAAATCCTTCCAATGCTATATTGTCCCACGATTACTACCATATGATTTCCAGGATATATTCTAAGAGAAAATTCTCTTTACGTATAAAATATCTATCAAATAAATAAAAGAATAAGTTTAAAATCATAATTGAATAATTTGTGTTTATATCATAAATGAGAATAATCTTAGAAAAAAGTTGTTCTTAACGAATGAGAGATTCAATCGATCATTCAGCCGAATATTAAACAATATTAGCATTCACGGAACGGCATGACGAATCGGATCGCGACTCGATCCGACAAATCGATGAGAAAGAGGTCGAAAAAAATCCAATGGCCATATGTCGAAGACATGATCCTTTCTCTCCGCACTTCTCTCTTTTTGGCAATGGCCCGCCATATGGCGCGCGAAACCGCGTTCTTTCTCGATCAACGTCCACTTTCTCTCTCTATTCTATCTCTTTTTCTTCGGTTGCGTTCACGATTTCGCTTGTCAACATCTGTTTCCACGCCTCAACGTGCCGCGAAGTAGATCCTAGATGCGTGGAAGACTCAACGTTTACCTGCCCATATATGTCTCGAGCAAGATTTCGTTCCGAAAGTTCCCTTTTGTTCGCGGATCCTCCTTCTCTGACGCGTTTTTCACCCGAAGGTATAGGATCTTTTTCGAATTGCTCTCCAAGGCGTCTCTGATTTTGCAGGAGAACCAACGGGAGAGTCTGCTTTAAGTCGCGATCGAAAGGATCCTTTTGTCGATTTCTCTGAGTCGCGAGGATCAAGAATGTCAAAGGTTTTCTATTCCACGACGCGGAAAATAATACGCGATCCACACCCCTCGTTTCTTACGATACGATCTCTACGTTTATTTTTTTTCCTTCCCGTTAATCGTAAAAGAAAATAAAACGCTTTTCCATCATTTTCACTCGATTCGGATCGAATGGATATAAAAGACGAAAATCCAAATTTTTCTTGATTTAGTTTCGTGTTCTATTTTGTAATAGAGATATAAAATATTTTGTTTGAACTGTTTTTATTTTGGATTAAAAATCCAAGAGACGAAACGCGCGTATAAAAATATCAAAAGTCACTTTAATGGATAAATTATTAAAACAAATAAGATAAATACAATAGATAAATAGTAATAGATAAATTATTAAAACAAATAAGGAATATCGTACCTGTATCTGGTTAAATTAGTAAAGGTAACTTTCATCAGTCCGTTAACTCTGAAATGTTAATTAAGCGGGGGAGTTAGTGCAATTAGTGGAGTCCAGTCCTTGTCGTATTTGCATCAACTTGTTTCAGCAGGTGACGCGCGACCTTCGAAAGGCCCCGCGTGGCACGATATACTCGCGTGTTCGCGGGATCTGATTTAATCGTGGGAAAAGACGTTTCAGTCGTCATGGGCCCATAGCAAGAGCTAACAGGTGTCGGTGGAAAAAGAGGTGCTGGTTGCACCGTCCCGGTCCGTTGAATTTTCGAGGGTCGTCGTCGCGTTCCAGTCCAAGGAGTCATCGGTATAGGGGACTATCAGTGCAAATAGGCAGAGGATCTTTTTCGTCACGTTGAACAAAAATTAATCTTTTTTTCTCCTCGAGCGCGATACGACTATCACGCACATTTGTGTCAACGAATGGACTCCATTCTTATAGCCTGCGGACCATTTTGAATACCTGTCTATGATTTCAAAACGAATAAATACTATTACATATATTTTTTATGATGCTTATGAAGATTATTTTTATAAAAAAATATATAATTTTTTTTGGAAATTATTATCCCGGATAAAGAATGTAAGGTGCACAGTCGTGTACATTTATTAATTTTTATTCGCAAAGGCATGCAAAGTTTTGCACTTGGTCGAAGTATAGCAATATCCATTGTGCACAAAAATTCATGCGATTAGGTAGAGCAAGCGTTGGTGTGTCATGCTAGAGGATTCCAAGGAATGCGATCACGGCGTTCTTTTACTCCTTGGATATATCGGGGCCCTTCGATGATTCACGACAGAACCCTATACATAGGTCGGTCGCCTTAAAACGCATGATTCATAGTCGTGATTCACTCTCGATCTTTCTTCCCTAACTGCATCATTACATCGTGCGTTGATCATAGAATGCGACCAGCAACTAAAACTTCTCACGCGACCACGAACCACACGTGTCTACTTATCTTTTCTGATAATGCGAACCTTTTTTCGTAGATATTTTCGAATAGATAGAAGTTACGAGATAGTGGATAATTTCCGGTATACGATGAAAAAAAACAAGTTGTATATAGTTGCAGCTAAATTTTCTAAATAAACGAAAATAATTATAATAAATTATTATTTTTATTTCAATGTAAAGAATGCATCGAAATATATTACAACTGAATAAATTTTTTTAAGTATATGTTTTATTAAATTATTTGAGAAACTATTTATGAAAATTGCAAAAAATATTGAATCTCTTTTAAAGTAATGTCCACGAATTAAATTATATCTACAACGAATGATATTTACGACACGAACCCGAATTAATTGAAGAACTTATACATATAAAATTTATAAAAATTATTTATATACATTTTATCGAGTTTCTGAAGAGAACAATGGAAAATTCTGAATGAAAAAAAATGTTCTAGTTTATAAACTAGATTATCTCTGCGGGTCTTATTTACGACTCGTGCTCCTAGCGCAAGAAACGAATAGTCTAACAGGATGAAAGGTTCTCTGAAAGAACGCGTAAGATGGGTAGCCGGGAGTACTCAGGTGAGGGATATAGCCATAGAAGCTGGGTAGGAGGAGAAAAGGCGGAAGATGCGACGAACTTAGAATAAGAAAACAGGTCGAAGCCACGCGACCAGGCCGCGCCTGCGCGTCCGACTTCCCTTTCTTCGCAAGACTTTCCCGCCAAAAAGTCTATGACGCCACCGTAGTGGCAAATTCTTTCGTCACAGCATCATTCAACGAGCTAAATAATATATTATTAATTAAAGCAGAAGCGGTTAATTTTTTTAACGTGACATTTAGCTTTTTTCAATATAAATTGCAGAAAATTGTTATAATAATAGAATGGCGAATATAATTCGGTCGCACAACTAATTTCTGTCCCAGGGAACATTAGAATGGCATGCATTATATTAAATTATGTGTAAGAGATATTTTTAATTCGGCCACGTGTATTGAAAAAGACGCTATGGAAAGACTCCTTTCTCACATGATGCATGCATTCCAAGGAATTGTTATGTATTATCCATTCAGAGAGAAGGAGAGGGAATGTATTTTCTTTCGCGTATATATTCTAATTCATTCTCTACCGCGAAAATTCGCCCAATTTCCGTCAGGTTTATCGATAAAATTGCTATATTTTGCAAGAAAAATGTTGCTTACCGTGAATGCTGGTCTGCCTTGAATACGGATTACTTCGCTTTTTGTTAACCGCCGGCTCGCTCTTGTCATTGTTCCGCCTCTGGTAATTATTCTCCTTGTCTTCGGAGCAGGGATCCACTCCCCATCTCTTGGCAAACTTGCTCCTCTCCGCGTCCAGAGCCTCCTGGAACATCTCCATGGTTTCCCGCGGGTTCGGCTTGCCGAAGAGGCAGCGTGGTACTCGCGAAGCCATGGTGGTGCTCGGTAAGACCGTGTAATAGATCTCGCAACAGAACGAAGCTGCCAGCATCTCGGGTTCGTAGTCTAGGTGGGTTCCCCAGCAACTGCGTACTTATTTTAATTCGAGATAATTTTCACGCGCTCACTTCGTGGCACATATACGACTTCTTCTTCAGTTGCTTTAGTTCAGCGTCTTCCGCAAGAACAGGAGAATCTTCGACGACGTGAATTGCGCCGCGCTCTTCAACTTTTCTGTGAACTTTCGTCCTCCGATCCTTCGGGACCACTATTCTCGCGTCCAAAACCAACCAACCGAGCGGTGTTTGATCCTCACCGTGCGACGATCGGACTCGTTCTGGTGGGCATCGTTCGGGACGGTGGAACCAGTCGGCTCCGATCCGTTTGAGCAAAGCCACGAGGTCCGGTAGTCCCCACTATCGACTGTTGAAATTCAAATCTGATTGGTGCGCCGTGCGGGTTGCGCCGTAAAAATGGCGCGAATTTTCTCTAGCTGTGTCCTCGTCACGCGCACGATGACGTCCGTAAGCGCGTTCTCACTTTGGTGCGTGCGCTAACCACGTGTACCCTCACCATCGTTCTCAAGCTCGAAACCGTCCAACGGATTATGCTAAGCGATCTCCTCGGCCTTGTGGTAGGAAGGAGCGCGCGCGCCATGAAGCGTACCATTTGCCTTTTTTCTAAGTAGCGCGATGTATAGAACGATCACGATCGAGTCCCTCTCTGTTTCTCTCTCGGATCTCTTTTTTCTTCCGTCTAACTTCTTTCCGGATTACATTACTGCGTCTGATCCATCGTTGGAGTGTGCAAGAATCTTCTACTTTCTCGTTCATTGCTTTTAAGTTGCCTCTTCAAATAGGCTCTTGCATAGATAACAAATCATTTAGATTTCTATACATGTGTTACACACATACATTTGCAATAAAAATTTATTGCTATTATTTTATTTTATTTTTTTTTAGATACTTTGAACTTGAAGCTATATATGAAAAGTTAATATAAAAATATAAAAATGATATATTTAAATGAAAATAAAAATATAAAAGTTTTATTCATCTTTTTTCATTCAAGTTTAATGAAAATTGGATATTAAATTATATTTTCGGGAAAAGTTTACGGAGGAATAAAAACGATTTGGATCGCGTATGCGCCTGCACCAGTATAAGATTGTAGGACAATTCGCCCAATTGTTGTTGCCACGACTCTGCCTTGAGCATTTTTGCGGGAAGTCGGGTGTTCTGTAGCAAGAAGAAAAAACGGTCGTCCGAGCAGGTGGAGCAGCCGGAGAACGAGAGGGAGAGACCAGAGTGGAAGCAAGTCCTGGGCAGAAAAATCTCTCTTCTCGAGTCGTCGCAATCGTCCTCTCGAGTACATCGAATTTTTGGATAGACATGACTTACACGTGAACAGACGATATATATCAACGAATAATTATTATCGCGCGATTTTTACGTCGATAGACTCGAATGTCATGAACAGCTCTGATTTGAGCATTAAGATTTCTTTGCTTTTTATTTTGTAGCATTACATTTTTTGTCGAATCGCCTTTGAACTGTCCATATTAACACGATTTTGTATGGATTTTTATATATTTTTTTACACATTCTCCGCGAACACCAGATATTGTATAACAGGTCAACGTGATTCAATGCAATGGGGTCGTCTATTCTATACAGGATATTCAGAATGTAACTCAGGAAGATCAAGCCAAGGTCTCACCTTTGACTCTCACGCGTAAATTTTAGTTTCTTTGAAATCTTTTTTTATCAAAAATCGATGAGATTGCAATTTGACTTGAATTCGTGAAAAAAACGAGCCCCGCAGTATCGTAAACGCAATCAGCCAACCATGATTTCGCATCTTTGATCTCGGTAAGACCTGTTTCTTTTGCGTTTTTTTTTTTTAACTTCTCGAAGATATTAAAGAGATTTCAAAGAAGATTATTATTAAAATCATATTCATAGTCATGATATAATTTTTATTTTGAAAAAAATATATATAATTATATATATAATAATTATATATATGTATAGATATAGAATATTTAATTATATATATATATTTTTTTCAATTTTAAATATATAAAATACATAAAATTGTAAATGGTGCACCAAGCGATGCACAACTTGCATCTTTGCATGCAAGTCCGAGTGAGCGAGACAAGGGCGATATGCAGATGATTGGAAGGGATGGGAGGGAAACACAAATGTACATACATGAAATAAAGCGTGACGCAGACCGCCGCGAGATTCGAGAACGTGCAATTATAAGCATCTCGCGCGATACCGGGTGGATGATTGTAACGCAACTTGGCCGAGTCACGCTTCGCCATATCACGGCCGGCCGCGTGATGGGGGTAAATTCGACCGTTACAGAAATGCATGTGCGTGCACACGCGCATCGCTCGTCCTCTCATATACATTCGCCACCCGGACAGGTGAAACACCATGACCACCGTAGCCAGCGCCCGTAACGATCATTAGGTTTGTGATTGCTTCTTGAGATTTTCCACCCGTAATATCCACACCCGTTTGGTTATTATTGCTGATTATTGCTGCGTTTTGCCCTGTAATTGCTTCCCATGATATCGAAAGTGCCGACGATTATCAGTTCGTGCATGGAACATGCTCGATTATATAGGAAGTGCGCGTGATTTTATAAAGATTTGGGAAGTTAAGCAGGGTAGAAATATTTTTAAAACATGGATAAATCTCGACGTGTGTTCTCCAATACGTAAAATCGTGTTTCGACGCAGCCGTTGGATCTCTCCGAGGAAATGCCCACTTCCTTTCCCATTTAAACACGGGAAGAACATCGATATCCGTGGGGATTTCGAGTTTCGAGTGCTCGCGCTCCCTATCGGTCTCCCACTTCCGGTCCTGGTCAAGCAGACCGGAACACGCGGGGTCCCCGGGTACACCGTGACGTCAGAGCATCGTCGAAAATTAGGGAGGAACTTATCTGCAGGGGTTCCAAGCCAGGATGTAGTTAATGCCGCGACTTTAACTCATACTAAAGACGATTACTGACCCGATCATTTTTCACGGTTATGAGCAGTCTAATGGAGAGCGTGCTCACGAATTACGCGAACCGATTTTTGAAAATGCCAGACGTTCTATATTACTGGTTCTTTTTTATCGTCGGGTCCTTATTTTATTTGTCTTTCATATTTTTGTGCGACACTGAAAAAAAATTTATTGAATTCGAATAAATATTTTTATTTCAATACTCCTTATAAATCATTTATTTGAAATTGATAATATCGATTTGATGTGAACAAATATTTATTTGATATTCAAATAAATGATTTATTATTTGGCAGTATTGAAATAAATATTTATTAATTTAATCATTTTTTTTTTTCAGTGGAGAAATCGGATAAAAATATGAAAATAAGAGAAAGGAAAAGAGAGTTCGTATAAATTATATTGCTAATTTTTAAATTAATTTCATATAGGCGTTTATAAATGAAGAAGTCTAATTTTAATTTTTAGAATATTAACATTTTTCTTCGCCCCTTGAACTGATATTCACCATGCTTTTGCTCGCAGGCACGATTGCGGCGGAAGAAAGCGTCTCGTGAAAAGATGATCGACAGCTGATACCGGCAAGGAGGAAACAGGAGAGTGAGAAACATCGAACGGAACGAACCAAAAAGTCGCGAAGAATAAGGTAAGAAAATTTGAAACTCTACCCTTTGGCCATCGGCGCGAGCACCTGGGCAGCATATGTGCCAAATATAAAAGGACGAAACGCGTCTCTGCGGCCGATTATTCTCTCTTCCTCTTTCCCTCCTTTCTGTCTCTTCGCAAATTCTGTGTGTGAACTCGAAGATCCCGAAAATTTTGCGAAATCATCGGTGCATCTCGCGTGGCTTTTTCCCATCGTCGAAATTGAGGGAGCGCGCAACCAACCGCGTACGTCAGTCGATCAGCTGTTGTTGCTAACCGCGCATTAACCTTTCAGATAAATGTCAGATAACGAATAGTACAAAAAAAAAAACAGATTTTTCGTAAAATCTTGCATTCACGTTTTTATCAGTGTCAGGAAATGCTGTAACATCTCGTAGCAAGGTGTTTTATTTGCTTTTCTTTTTATATAATATCAAGCTTAAAATAAATTTATTTTATTTGAAAATCTATTTCATATTTATGAAGAAAATGTATTATTGAAATTAAAATTATTAAAAGAAAATAACTTATTGTTGAATAGTAAAAACTTAATATTGCTATTTATTTAATTTAAACTTAACAGTAATATTTAGTTATTTTTTTTATTATTCAATATTATATTGAGATATTTCTTTAAATAATTTTAATTTTAATCATATATTTTCTCTCTCCGATATGGACTAAATTTTTAAAATTAAAGAAGGAATTATTACGAGGGAAAAATGTCGTTTTGAATTTAACATTACTCTTTTAGTATTAATAAAGATTTTTATGAATCATTTATTTTGTGGCATCATAATTTACACGCGTTCACCTAGACTTGTCTAGGATGAGAAATGATGCAGGAAAGAGCAAGACGAGGGGCAGAAACTGGACAATGGGGTTCGTGTTTGCAACCACCTGTACTCACAGGTAGACGAAAACATGTGTGAGGAAACAAGACCGTCTTTTCCACGCGTACGTTTATAATATCAGACGGCGAAAACAAATAGAAGCTGGTCGCGTGGGTTTCTCGTGGCCTCTTTTGCCTAGAAATTTGATATATTCGGTCACTATTTCATCATCTGCTCGCCGCAGAATGCCCGGTGCGCGCGCCAGAATCGATTATCTTCTGGTTCCTCTCATGAACATCTCTACAAGTATAATGATATCTTTTTATATATTCCTCGGAGTTGTCTCGTTGTCCGAAAACGCGATAGTTTAACGTTCTCGTAGTGTCTATAGAGTGTCGCGTTTGTCATAGACACCGGGGATAAGTGGTGAAGGGATGTATATATACGCAAACAGCTGCCATTCGGTTGCAGATGCTCTCGAAATTCTGAAATTCCAACCACGTCGTAAACATCCGTGGCTGTTTACGCGACTGTATCCGCGCGAAGCTGCGTCTTTTGTATACAAAAAATCACTATTTTCGAAGAACTTGAAGTTTGATTGTTTTGACAAAAGGAAATTTTACATTTGTAGTTGAATTAATAATACATTAAGAAACTTTAAATTAGACAGCAAAAGGCTAAATTAGTCGCTCTTTCTATCTCTCCCGCATATAATTTATATTTTTCTCATGAAGATCTGTTCTGTGTAATATTTTTATTGTATTGCCTAGCGATTTCTTCAGTTACACTTGTTATTAATTTAGATCATGAAAAAATCAATAAAAACAAGTAATTTTATCTCGTGTTCTTAGAAAAGCAATTAATTTGAATTTATTATTTAAATTTACTTCTTATATACATACGTTTTTCTTCTATTCATTATGTTTAACACGACTAATTAAATACGTAGGCTGATTACCGTATATATAAGGTTGAAACGGTCGCGAGTAATTGAACCAATTTATCCACGCAAAAATCGTGCATGCAAAGGAAACGTTTAAGGCAGGATGTTGCTTTACACTTTGTATTCTGCTTGCGTGTAGCCAGGCGCTCTTTATTTTTCTCCCTCAATGACACGATGTACGACACAGAAAAAGACTTGGAAAAATTGTCGGTTAGAAATTAGCTGCTTTTCTGAGCGAGCGAGGATGTGTAATGACACGAGCGATGAAGCTCAAGGTTGACGTCGCAATTTCAGTCAATTTAGACCTCCTATGAACCCCATTTACATCTCTGCGAACTGTAATTTGCACGCTTTTTATGGATATCGAATTAATAATTGGCGTTTTTTTTTTCTTTGATGGCTCGTTCTCTGTATTCGAAACATGCGAACAAAAATTGCTTGCCTCTCATTTCCCTAATTGTAGGAGGGATTATTCTATACAAACTACTGTTAAAATAATCGCAAATGTATAGCACTTCAAATGTGCATATATTTAATAATGGATTTAATAATATAGAAAACAAATTGAATTATAATAATACATTTTTGTGTGCAGCACAAAAAGTAGACATTAATGTTCGAAATAAAAAATCCATGCTAAATGAAATAGCGACGTATACCTTGGAGAAAAGAAAGATGCTGTTGATCGAGTACAAGTCTTTTTTATAGCTCTGCATTTTAATAGATGGATGATAATTGCGCGGTTTTCCGCAGTCTCGTTCAATTCAAATAGATATTGGGGGTGCTTCGGGAAGTTAAACTCGCGTTGTGGGGTAAAAAAGAAAAGCGTACCGACGAGATTTGAACAATGCGGGAGGAAGGCGTGACGGTGAGCTTTACGAATCTCCGATCCAGCTGCTCGTACCTACCTATATTTACCGTCGACCTTTCGAAGCCTCCACCTCCGCGCGATAGTCGTTCAGATAGTCTGAATGCCGGTAAATCTACCGACGAGCTGCCCCCGTTGGAGAGGGTGGAACAGCTGTTCCGTTCAATAAGAGGAGATCCTGAATCGCGTGAATATTTAAAGATCCTAGTATCCTTACACGCTTTCAACGAGCTTTTTAACGGTAGTTGCCGGAGACCGTGAAATACGATGGGATCACAGATTGTCTTAGAAATATTTAAATCAACTTTCACGGTCAAAATCTGTCGCTCCTTCATTATTTAATAGCAACATTCTTGTGTAAAAAGATGTGCAAAAATTCGGATTATTTTCATAAAGTTTTGGCTAGTAAGTTGAAGCAGTTAAAATTCATTAATTTTGATGTTTTTTTTTTTACATTTTATTACGGTTTTATTAATTTTTTATATGAAGAAAGATATGGATTCGAAAAGTCGAAAGATTGACATAAAGATTAATGTATCAATACACGCCAGATGTCGGGAATAATTAAATTGCTGTCACGAAAGATCCTTGTTTCTCTCATCATTTTGGCGTAACCTAGCTCTCGTATTTCTACGGTTGAAACAGGAACAGGAAGAACACGTCCCCTTGAGCGAAAAAAAACTCCGGGTTGGTTCAAGGAGGAACCATCTTGTTGTGGGCATAAAGTAATTTGATCTTCTGGATAGTTTTACGGCTTCTATATCAACGTATTAATTGTAGAGATATTACGATACTTTGAAAAACACGCAAATTAAAAAGATATAATCAGGAGTAAAATTTAATAGAAAAAAGATCTCGAATTATATACAGGATGAGCCTTATAACATGCGATTGCCATGATTTTTAAGGCACTTAATCGTTTAATTATGCATATAGTGCATATTGATTATACATATATTTTGATAGTTTTGATCATTTTCATCATATTTATCATTTTGATCACCGATCATTTCGATCGTTTTAATCATTTCGATCATATAGATAATTTTGATCCTTTCATTATTTAGCCAAATACTAGTAATTTTACGTATTACAATAGCGGGTCATTATATTAGACACTCAGACACACGATAAAATAATAATTTTATTAATCAGCTGATCGATTAAATCATTTATTAATCAGACTTAATATACCTAAACTACGTATTATGGACAATATAAAGTCAAGTTATCGAGTTTATATTACGATGACCATCTTGTATATTGGCGCGATATTTTTAATGAATATTTACTGCACGTGAAAAAAGAGATGGACAACATTAAATCGACATTTAATTTTATTTGCTCTCGAGGAGAGAAGACGCGTAATATATAACATTTGCAAGAAATTTCAAAGTTAAATATCTTGCGAAATATCTTATATAATATTCTTTGATCTTTCACGCAATTTCTCGACCGCCACCGGTATTGAAAGAAACCTCGCACGAATTTTTCCGCCACGTTGAACCGCGCATCCGTTTGCAACGTGCGTGCATTTTAACGATAGGCCTGAAACGGAAAAATGATAGCCGCTGTCACAGATAAGTCTCGCAGACTCCTGGGAACGCGGTTCCCGCCAATTTCTCGACGGGTGCTCGAGGCAGTGTAACGGCCGTTGGTCCGAGATGCCTCGAAAGTGGCAGGTGCAACTCGGGCCAAACTTCATTAAACACAATCCCATCTGCGCCCTCATACTTCCAAGACGTCTCGTGGCCGCCGTAACTTTTCGAGGACGATAGAGAGAGATGAGAAGAAAGGAGCCCTAGCAACTCCGCTTGATGCATATACATATATATGTATATGTATATATATATATATATTTTTTTTCTTTCTTCCTCCTTTTTATCTTTACTCGCGAGACAGGCAGATTGACTGGTCCAGTGAAGCTGCTTAAAACTACATACTCTGCGTGACAATGACTGAGAACTAACAGGTGCTTGTTCTCATATAATGAAAAAAAGCACTTGTACATACGGTAGACGACGTGTTTATAAATAATTTAAATACTCTACAGTGTAATAGAAAGTTTTCGGTGCTTTCCGCGTTTATTGAAAATGACACTTTTGCATTTTCTCTGGAAAAATACTTGAACATTTTATATTTTATTGCAGAATTCATAAATTTGTTCTTGCATATATACTCTTTTCGTCTTTTATAAGAGATGATGCATTTTTTGTGTTAGTAAATGTCGGAATTTCAAAGAAATAAGGAAGGAAAATTGGATCATCATCGTCGGTTAAACAAATAAATTCTCAGAAGGAAGCCACGTGGCTGGTTTTTCTGACACGCGCGCCTGATCCTTTAGACCCTCGAGATTTTTATTAGTTTTAGGATACTCTCTAGTCAGTTTAAAAGAAAACAATCGGCCGGAAGAACTCGCAAGCCCAATGCTCTAGTATTCGCATAATTACATTAATTCGAATTACGATTAAGAACGTGTATAATAAAATTATCATCTGATCAAACGCGACTGCCGACAAAATTAAAGATAAATTATAAGGAAAGAAATGAGAGAAACTTATAATTTATTTCCTAATAATTGAGTTGTAGTAATTTTGCAAATAATAAGTATTCTTTGTATAATCTAGGATCTCCGGCAGCACATGAAAGATTATATTATTATAAATATCTTTGAAATTATGTTGTAATATTTTTACGATGCAATTATTTATCAATGGCTGATATATATTTTGAATACGCGATTGATAGAATGCAGTAAAAATAACATTTGCCATTTCGCGAAAGATTCTCAAGATTCTCTTCCTGTTTATTTTCTCATAAATTTTCGTATTATAAGAGACATCAGAATATTTTTTACAATCTACCCCGTCGACGCAATGTCGTAAAAGAGACTCAGCTTGAACGACGAGGTACATAATAGGCTTTATAGGATCTTTAAACTTTAAAGGGACGGTACCCGAACAGCTGACGCTTCCTAAGATACTCAGGTATCCTTTCTAATAAATTCGGGACAGTTTGAAAAACATAAATTAATTGATGTTAAAAAATGTCGATTGGAAAAGTAGGGAAAAATTTAATAAATATTCTATATATACGTATGTGTATATATATTTGCATTTGTATATGGATAATGTCTGTTTTATAATTTTATTATTATTCTTGATATAGTTACATAAAGTTTTTTCTCTTCATCTTTATCTTATATATATAATATTATCAGGTTAACATGAGCGGTTTGTCTCTAACATTTCTCATAGTTCTCACGGTAACAAAAACGATTGTATCCCCCGCACGCTTTACACGATAATAAACATTTCTGTTGATCAATTAACGCGGATAATCGTGAATTTTATTATAGCATCTGTTGCAAGCGATATCCAGGTGTTAAACGAAGGGTGTGCCTGTAGCGTTTGATACTTTTTTTCTGCCGGAATATCGATATGAAATACGATCGTCTTCCGGCCTCGTACGAGCGAGTGACAAATAATTTTCGGTGTTACGAGAATACGTTGAAAATTCACTATATATATATATATATATGAAATTGGTAAAATGTTTTTGAATGCAGTATAACACACCAGCGATATCGTGTCAGTTTCACTTTGGTTGAATGAAAATCAATATACACGAGGGATATGTTTCACAGAATGCATCCCGGCTGATCAACGTTCACACGATTGCGCAGATGGCGCCGTTAATGTTACAATTTATCAAATAACGAGGTAATCGGGGTGGGCGTAACCGTGACGGATACAGGGGTGATCAAAACCTCGAGCTATTTGTTAAGCCTAGGTAATTAAAGAGCACTTTTTCCCAGCGCCATATGCAACTCTTATTGGCTCATCACGCGAGATTCGCCAATCGTTTATTCAATCCGTAGGTGAAATACTCCAGAAACGAGATACGCGCAGATAAACAGCACGATATTTTACGGTCTAAACATTGATATTTATTATTAAATTAGGGTGATCGAATTTTGGTTCTTTTAGAGGCACTACATTGATCATTTTACAAATTTTTTGATATTTTTAAAAATTATCTATTTATTTATTTCCTTATTTATTTTCTTTGGAAAAATTCCATTTTTTTATAACTATTTTTTCGCAAGACAAAAACTTATTTGCAGTATGTTGAAGTTTTTCTGAATCTTTCTTCTTCGAAATTCTGCGTCGCCATTTGCGAAAAATTAGGATAAGCATAAGAATCCCAAGAACTGAACCAACGATCACATTGCTATTAGCACGTGTCTCACAATCAGCGACGCAATCGATTTCTGAAATATAAAATTTTATCGTTACATTAAAAATGTCTAACTAAAAACAGTTAATAAAAGCAATCTTTTGAACGTCACAATTATAATTTAAAAATATTAATATATTAATAATTAATAAAACAATGTTTATACAACAGACCTGTTTTCGAGCAATTCTGGATGCACTCGTTAAACGCAATTAAACGGATATCGGAGATAATAACATCTATTTCATCTCCAATGTTTATTATGGTATTTACTTCGCATATAAATATTTCGTACTTTATCGAAGCAGAAAATAATTGCAGATGCCTATCTGATGTGTCTCCATGCATTCTTTTCTCTGCAAATATTATAATAACATATAATTAAATATTAAATAATTATATTATATCAGATATAATAAATAATTTATATCAATTTTTGCAGAATTTTAAAACGCAATTTTTGACATACTTTGCGCTCGTGGAAAATTATTGCCATCTAAATGTACATCGATAGAGATGAAATCGAGAAAGAAATTCGTTTCATTATGAGCATAATGAAAGATGATTCTATTTTCCTTATTGTCACTGTCTAGTTGAGTCTCGACAGGTTCCTTCCAACTTAGAGTCATCTTGGCTATCTTCTCATGACAAATTCCTGTTATCTTTGCGTTTGTTGGAACCGTCAACATAGCATTGCCTATCTAAAAATGTAACATGTTGCATTTGATTGTTTGTTAAAATAATGCCGAAACATATGTCATTAATCTTACTCTTTTTAAGACATTGATTAAATCATTTCTTGTTTCTTTAGAGATTTTTATGTATTACTTTTTTATAAATATTATGTGTGAGATGTCTTCGATAAATATTAATATTTTACCTGAGAATCTTTCATTGCGTATCGCAAATTAATTCGGATCATCATGTTAGTAAGAACGCAAGCTCTTCCGGTTTCAATATCTCTAACGATGTAATCAAATTCAAGAGCGATAGATTCCGTACAACATATTGTCGCATTTGTTTTAGTACATTTTGGATTAGGCATCGAGGTTGTCGTCGATGACTTTTTCATTGAAGTTGTTTCAATCGCACTTGTATTTGTTATTGTATCTTTTACTGTTGTAATCGTCGTCCTACCTGTTTCCACCGTGATCGTGCTTGTCATTTTCGATGTAATAATTGATGCGATGTCAGCCGATATTTCAGACTCTCCATTTGTTAGTGTGATTGTCGGAATTATTGTAGTAACCATAATTGGCGTAGTTTCTATCGTATTCATTGTTACTTCCTTAGCATCTGAAGATACCATCTCAGATGATAGTTGCGTGTTCGTTATATATTTCTGCGTTGTAGATTGTGTTAACAGGGCTCTAGACGGGATTGACAGCATTTTAAAATATGTCGTTTTATTCGGTATTTTCGGTATTTTAGATTGCGTTGCAGGTATTGTTATTTTATCCACAGTGGTTGTTTCAGATAGTAAAGTCGATACCGTAGATGATGATTTAGCCGTGAGATTTTCGAAGGATGCAGTAGACGATAATGAAATTTGTGCTGTCGCCGAGTAGATCATTATACCTGTCAAAATTATTGTATCGTTTGTTTCATTTTATTCTCTACAATTCGCGCATGTAAGAAATTTATACTTAAATTAAAATCCGATTTTTTTATTTGCCTGAGTTGCGCACGCAACTATTAAACAATAGATATTTTGTCGATATTTGTTTATTAAGTAACTATGACGGAGAAATAATTTTTAGGAAAAAAAATAGAAGTAAAAGATACAAGAAAAATTGTCTCTTGATTTTGAACAGTTCCTTTTAAACAATTTTTCTCGCAAATTAATCAAAAAATGTATTCTTTACTTTTATCTTTTTATGAAAAAGAATCACTTATTTATCGATTTACTTGTCACAGTCAAGCTATATTTTCTCAAAAGAAAGATTAACTAGGAATTTATTATTTGTTATAAGATTGGTTATCAAATAGAAATTTATTATTATTAACGTCAGAGGGATATAAAAACGGAGTTAACTAACTGTAGATGATTAATACTTCAATTGCGATTACAAGAATCATTATTCCAATCATTAATGTCACATGTGTCCTTTTCATATTTTTATTAATTTAATTTTCTTCAAGAATCCACTTTATATATACACGTATATTGTTACTCTCATCGGTATAATTATATAATTATAATTGTACACGCTATATTTAATGGCAAGTATAATGCAAAGGTATTAGAAGAGAAAAAAGATATCGAGAGCACACGCACAAGTCGCGAGTAGAAATTGTCTATTTATTACGTCGTTAATCACGAAAAGTATAATAAATTATTCGTTTATCTCGTAGAAGAAAAAAATTAACCCAGTTAAGCGTATGGCAATGGTTAATATATAACGAATATATCCCTACCCTCTCACAGTCTATTTCTGTGCATTATCATTTTGTTTTCCGCCAGGCAACGAGATAGGATATCTCTAAATCCTGTTTTTCTCTCTATTTAATCGGTTTATGCGATATACAATTATTAAGCCGAAAATGATAATTTATGAAATTCTCAACTCTGACATTTTTATAGCTTTGTAATTTTAAGTTCTTTTTAAAATACCGATTGAAATGCGGAGAAAAATAAATTTTTAATTAACAGTCTCGCGTGCACAATCGTATATATTCAAAATTTCCCAGGTAGAAATTTTATCTGGAAATAATCAGGGCTCCATATATTCTTTTAAAAATATTTCTGGAATCCAGGTAAAAAATTTAACTAGAACCTGTGCAAAGTTTGGGACGCCTAAATCGTACAGGTCCTATCGCAGAATTCGGGTGGGCTCAAGATTACGCCCAGAATTTGTAGAAAAATTATTTGCAGTCTAACTAGGACCTATAATTTTTTAAAATATTTGCTTGATTTGTATTATAATTATTTCTATAAGCTAGATTATTTAATCCTGGCCCCATATATAGTTTCATATTTATTCTAATTTGGGAAAAATATGTCAGTGGTAATTTAGAATCCACGCAGATTTTTCCGATTATTTTTTTCCTCGGTAAAATAAAGATAAATTTCTAAGGTGTATTCTGGACTTAAACATATACCTATTTCAAACTGAATTTTTTTACCTAGGCCCTGTATTTAATCTCGACAAATCGAGGCAGATTTCTACCTGGGTTATTTGGTACAACATTATTATCGGTTACATTGCATATTGTACATCGAATAACGTAGCAAATACGCTGGAATAATTAACGGATCACGCACGAATGCACCCTTTTCCGCTGTGCGGCCGGACATTATTGTCCGGTTTTTCGGTTCTGCCGTATCATTACCTTCTTTGTTGGCGACTCGTGCCGGTGCGTGCTGCAATCGGGACTGGTGAAATAAACCCGAGCTCCTTCTACCCCCATGCGACCCACCCCTTTCCCGATTTCGGTGACTCGCGAGCGATTTGTGGTTTTCAATTATTAGCTCGACATGCAACGCGTGTAGGTGGACAATGCATCGGAATGGACGGAGCATTATTGTCGTGACGAAAAATCGCATTCTACTGTACGTGATTATGCAACGCACCCCGTGGTCATTAATCGCGCATTAAGCCCGCACCGATGTTGGTCTCCTTCTCTATATTGCCGCATTTTATTCTTTCAGCTGCCTAATTCGCGGTTTCGTCTGACTTTCTCGTTCATCAATTTATTTTACCGCCCGATAGATACTAAATTCATTTCGAGAGTTTCTAAATAATTTTCGAAATGACTTTAGCATATTTAATATCCACTTTGATATTTTTCTGAGAAATTATATCATTATTTCTCTTATCTTTATATAAAACATTTTCTTATTTCAAAGAGAAATTTAAAAATATTTCAAAAGTTTAGGAAAAATTCCCAAAAATAGGATTTTATTACTCTAGTTTTTTTTAAATCTAATTTAAATAAATTTACATTTTATAGAGGTCTCTAAATAAACTTTCCCATTATTCTGTCCCAAAACAATATCTATTTGTGTTTACGTTATATTGTAGCAACATCCGCTGCATCTTTTTTATTTTTTATTTTTATTGTTGAGACTTCTATTATTATTTTTGCCGAGAATTACCTACCGCGCTAAATTGTGTTCAACTTGAACTGCCGCAAATAATATAGAAATACGTAGAAAAGAATCCATAAAATGTATAGAAGCTGTAAAATGTGTAGAAAACCTCAGATAATGACGATTGAATATATACTCTCTTTTGAAGATTTTAGTGTGCTGATTGCTTTTAAGCGAGCGACCTGACAGATAATTTCTTTGGTCATTATTCCTTCTCAGAACTTGTCTTCTACAAAAAAGATTATTTGTGTCTGTCGTAATATTTAGAATTCTTGCGTAGTTAAGCAATTCAAATTACAGTAAGTCGGATTTTTCGGGCTGTTTACGTAACGGTAATTAGATCTGCTATATTCAAACAGAAAAATATAGAGACATATATAGAAAGAGAAAAAAAGTTTAATACTAACTTTAAATAAAATAACAAAATAATATATTGTAAGAAGAGAACAAAGATAAATTATTTTTATTCCAAATTTTTTTCGATATATCTGTTATATATTTTCGATTTTTCCTTTACATAAATTTAATTGTCTAATAATAAATATTGTCGAACAAAGATAGACGATATAGCCAAATATACAAAAAATTTGAAAGAACGAAGTTACACCGTCGTTTCGACGCATCTGCTTGTTTATATACGAAACCCTTCGGATTTTATCGAACAATCTTCGCCCAGCGAAATCATCGGCCAATTCTTTCTCTGTTTTTTTTCTATGTCTAGATCGTCGCTATCGTGATTAAACTTTAAGGATTTATTCAAGCCATCTAATTTATCGAAAATATACGCCAAATTGATGATTGAACATTGCATTGCACACGCGTTAGATGAAAACATCTGCTGTACTACAAAACCCTTCGACGTTTATCAGTCGATCGTCGCGTGGAAATTGTTAAAAATAACATTGAGAGAGATTGAGCGACCCCGCGGAGTGACACAGCGTCGAGATTTTGATAGATCAAGCCAGAGATCGATTTTGTTCAATCGACCATCTGCCACGTCGAAGGGTTGTTTGTGGCAAACCCTTCTTGGACCTTCGGACCTTTACGTATGAGTGGTTACCCACAATGCAAGACGAAAGGTGTACACCAACAATACGAATAAACGGGTACATTGATTATTTCATCTATCATGAATATGTATGAATATCCATTGATTAAGTTAGAAATTAATTATTGGCACTTTGCGATCCAAAGCCATTTCAAAAATTACTGACGATTCATTTATAATAATTCATTCCTGTTATGCAATATTAATATTTAACCATCACAGTTTAAAAATGTATATATATATATACTTGTAAAATTTTTAATACAATAATAATATATTTTATTTTTTAACAGCTTTGAAGAAACAACTAAATTTAATTCTTTAATTAAAAAATTAATTTTTCTCACAATTATTTGCATTGATCTTTAATTATGAATTTTGCGATAATCTTTATGTGGTTTGAAAAGATCGTTGCATAAAATATTACACAAATCTATCTTTATATAGAAAGGCAGTTGGTTCGTTGTCACGCACATATACATATGTCCGAATAGAATTGAACTGTGATTTTTTTTTCTGAGAACCGGAAGTGTCCCAATTAACAGTCGCACGTTAGCTCGATAATATATGTGAGTGCGCGTAATACGTCGAAATTCCCACAAAAATTCATATTGGGCGAGCGTTTTCAACCCGCGGGCGCGCAGAGTTTTCCCATAGAACACCCCCAACGATAAATAATGCATGTCGATTTGCTCCGCTTCGTGGCGATTTCACGCGGAGTCGTGACACCGAGACGAGACAACTGGACAAAAGGGAGATTTACATAAATTACGCTTTCATGCGATTCCGAGATTGGCGCTCCTGATGAATAAATTTTCCCCATCTTTTTTTATGGGAAACTTTGATTGAAGAAGTCGTGACAAGGAAATTGATATCTCGATTCGTAGAAGAGTCCGGGAATGGAACGTAAATATCGCATAGTCATCTCTGCGCGATTCTATCACGTATACTTTGCTAAGTGTATATGTTTATTCTTACTAATGTGAAAGGGAATTCAATTCTCATGAATAAAAGTATCACTGCAACAAATAATGACTCGCATATTCAATGTATGCAAAATTATAACAAGTGTGTTATCTGCGCAAATTTGAAAATATATCATATCATTGTTAAGATATGTATGTTTTTTTTTCTATTTTTGTTTGATATTTGATTTTGCATATATTAATTATTAAAATGTACATTTAGAGTGATTATTTAGAAAAAGATTTTTAAAACATTTTTTATATTAAAAATTTATTCCAGATATCAAATTCTCAATAAATAAAATTAATTTATATTTATCTTCAAACTTAAAATTATCTTATTAATTTTAATTTTAATACTACGTTTTTCTTGACCATTTGGGAATTTATTTTCTTCACACGCGTATAAGAATACATACATTTATGCATATCGTGGAGCAATCACGAGTTTTGTTTAACTCGATATGACTATGGGAGAACCAACTCTCTCGCACGTTAACTCAATTTCGTTATCCTTTCATCGCGCGCGCATCGGCTCGTCGCGAATTAACATACAACTCGAGAGCCGATACGCGCGTAAATTGTGCGAAAACTTTCGCGAGGGACACCTGCAAAGACGCAACGCGAAACGGAGAGTGCACGGTTACACGCGTAAAATTTATGTTGCGTGAAACAGCAACCGTCCTCGCAAGAGCACTTTTTCCTTCGTGAGAAACGGCTGCGATGGCGATCGTCCGTAACACGTCAAAGCGTAAAAACTTTTACGAGATAGTTGTAATATCCGTAAATAATAATACATAGGTATGCGAGAATGAACGCCCTTACGCAGCAAGACTTGGGAAGGACGGAACTTTGTTGAAGTCTTTGCTCATAATTTGATACGAGTGTCGAATTATCAAATTATACTTATGTGCATTGTTTTAAAAAATGAAAGTTTAATCTTAATTAGAAAAAGAAAATTTGTATATTATTTTATATATTATATCATATTTTATATTATTTATATATTATATTATTTTATAAAATATTTTATAATATTTTATATTATTTT